GGTGAGGGTGAAGGGAGGGGAGGAGCGGGGAGTAGGGGAAACGGGAGGGAAGAGGGAGAGGTGGAGGGGGGTTGGACAATTTTTCTCCCCCCTCGTCACTACATCGGAAGCCTCACTACCTCCCCGGTCGACGTAGTGTCGGGCGCCCCGCTACTCCTTCCTTCCTCCCCCTCTCTTGTCGACCCTAAACTGCGACGGTGACCGGGAGAGAAGGGGAAAGGGGAAGTAGTTGAGAGTACTGGGGGGGGGTGATGGGGGTATCGAAGAGAGTTCCACAGTAAAACAACTGCTATCTGTGCCGCGGTTGAGGGAGGGGGGTTGAGGATGGCGAAACACTCATCGCCTCTCACCCCCCTCCCTGAATCTGCCAGTGACCTGGGATGTATATCATGTTTTCACGGGCTCCCTCTTTGGAGCATATGCCCGTATTTTTCTCGAGGACCGTTTGACAAACATTTATTTCTCCCCTTCCCCCCTCGCTCCTTTCCCTGTCTCTGCTCACACCCCCTACCTTTCGTACCCCTTTATAATCCTCTCTTCCTTCCCCTTCCCCCCTCCCCTCCCTCGCCTTTGAAAAAATATTTTGTCGCTTTTCGTCTCTATTTCACATTTGTTGATAACAAACAGATGGGGTTTCTGCTGGTAAAGTTTCCCTTACTCAGGACAGATTTTCTCAGCTATTTCAAGAAAAGCGCTTGGGTTGTCTCGCATCCATCTTAACTAGAACGAGGAGCTCCTTGCGCTTCCGAGGGATTTTATGCCATTCAAAACTCGACGATAAACCACATTTGTCAGTAAAATGTCTTCCGATACTCCTTTCCGAATTGTTCTGCTCAGAATATGGTGAGAAAAGGAAATCTGTTAGGAGGGGTTACCTCACTGCGGACACTGAGGGACGAAGCACTTCGTTGCGGGAACGAGTAGCGCCCTGGTTCGTCGGCATCAGCCAGTAGTTCGATGGGCTTGCCCTCTCGTCCTTCAATCCCACCTGTGCCATTCTCGCTGCGGATACTCAGGGATGTTGCACTTCTCTGTGAGGGTGAATGGCACCGGTCGCATTTCTTGCCATGATCCAGCAGTTCTGCGTCGCCCTGAGCATACTGCGCCTCAGTTGCACCAACAAGTTCAGCCTGAATTTCACCAGAGATCATTTGTTTTTCCTTCTTACTGCACATTTGTGCACATTCCTAAGAACAGCCATGTTTTGGTAGAGATGAAGAAACATGTGTTACCTCACTGTGGATGTCGAGGGAAGCCACGCTTCTGTGCGAGGATGAATGGCATCGGCCGGCTCGGTATTCCTGAGCTTCATGCAGATGCATGTGCTTATTCTCATTCACAGCATCAACATCAATCTCATTGCGTGCACTCAGAGATGTTATACTTCGTTGTGAGGACGAGTAACGCCGGCTATGTTCCAGGCATTCATCGCCGTGATCCAAGTGCACCTCTAGCTCAATCTTCGCCTCAGTCGAATCACCGGCTGCCTAAATTCAGCAGCCAAATATCTTATTAAAATTTTGAATGAATACATTTGCATGATGATGCATCTCAGGCATCGGCAACCTTTGGCAATACATAGGTCTGATTCATAATACTTAAGCTTGCGGGCAACTTTTTAATAAATAGCAACGCGCACCAGACTAGCCGGTGCAATCATGCGTTCTGTGCAATTCAGCCCATCGA